GGGGCTGGGAACCCCCCCGTGGGGTCAGACGAGGCGATAACTTTTTTAAAATGCTCAAGGAAAAGCCAAGAACTTCGAAGGGGGAAGCGTGAGGATGAGCAACCTGGAAACAGCCACCAAAATCCAGCGGAAAAACAAATAAAATAGGGATATTCTAGTTGATGGGCCCTTAAAAAGGGACGTACGCAGCCACGGTGAGCGCGGCTTTTTGGAAAGGAACCACCTCTTGTGCCAACAGGTTTCTCACCCCAGAAATCCCCTGCTCAGGGTGTTCTGTCCCCCTCGTCGCGCTCAGGGCACAGGACACCCCAACTGAACACTCAGGGCCGAGCTTCAGCCTCGCACCACGTTCCCCTACGTTCTCCCGACAGCCAAGTGCCTTTAAGTGCTACGGACAAAGTTGATTTATCACGCTGGCTTTGCCTGGTAAAGTTCAGAAATCCTCTTAGTGACTACTTGGCGTGCCCGTTTACTCCTCGGGTAGCTGCTACGGGGTGAGAAGGAAGGACCGAGCGGCAAAAAGTGAAATTCCCAGAAATGGGATGCTGCCAGAGGGATGCTGAGCACGACGGGCGTTTAAGGCAAAGCGATGCCCAACTAAGTTGAGGCCGGCAGGGACCCAGACCTGTTAAAGGATCCGTGTTGCAGAATAAGGAAGGAATGGGCTGTTCAGACATAAATAGGAAGACTTAATCTCTATTCTACAGCTGTGGAGCCCAGGAATCTCTAACTCCCCTGAGGAGGATGCCGGTACCCAGCGGAAGGCAGAGCATCACGGGAGGGGACCATGTACCCAGAGCAGCCCGAAAAGCAGCTACCAGCATGGGAAGGCTGGAGGCTGAGAAGGAGCCATGGTCAGCAAAGCTCAAGGAAAGCAAAAATCCAGCAGCTCCAGCGTTTTCAGCATAGTCTCCAATCAATACTGACGGCTTAATTAAAATTGCACCTGAATCTGAGAAGCTGCCTTAGCCCCGGCGCGGTTCGAAGGCTGTTGGCAGCTAAACAGCACGTCGCTGCAGCCTGAGCTAAATCCAGTGACTTCTGAAACACATTATTCAAATTTAAAATAGCAGAGTGCCTTTTTTTATTGCCATTTTCTTCCCATCCTCGACTGAGGAGCAGCAGCGGAGCACTCCATGCCCTCAGCTACCAGTGTGCCACACTATATATATATATTTAAAAAAAACAAAAATAAAAATCACAACTCAAAGTGTACTAAAGTGTTCACAAGTGTCTGGGCAGACTCTTTACAACACTTGGTCATTGTTGTTTTTTTTTTTTTCTTTTTAAATTTAAACACTGGAAGGAGAAACCAGGGCATGATTAGAACATTTCCACGAAGCTCAGAAAGCAGCAGCGGGAGCTCAGCCCCTGGTGCCGTGGAAGGAAGTGCATCCAGCCCTGGGAAAGGTGTTTTCTGGTCAGCCCCACCACTCTGGAGATGGTCTGTAAGCTCAGCCTGATGATGCAGACACTAACCCTGGTGTTTCATTCCAGCCAGGCGGTCACGGAGCCCAAGGAGGTACAGACCCTTCAGCCAGCGTGGAAGAGGGAGCAAGCAGCACTTTCCACGTGGTTTGGCTCTATCATGACCAGCAACACCTGCCACCTCCTAAGATTTCTTGTTCAGCCTCTCCAAATACAGCTTACAGAACTAGGAAGGATTGTCTAAAGGATTTTAAATTAAATGATAGTAGCATGTAACACCTTGCCCTGGTATACGGGTAACGTGTTTGGCTTTACCTAGCACTGCGAGGGGAGGGGAAAAACCAAACCAACCCATGACTTACAAAAAAAAAAAAAAAAAACAAAAAAAACCCAACCCTAATTTAAAAACAATAAACACAACAAAGGAAAACACAGAAAAAAAAAAAATCAGTTACCGTGAATGCTGCGTCAGCCTACCTTAATAGCATTCAGTCCAAACACCTTCAGCGCACGCTTCTACGGGCTTTTTTAATTTAATGGCAGCTAGGAAACACAAACAGGCAGGCAGCACTCGGCAGACACACGGGAGGAAGGCGAGGTGCTATCACAGTCCTCTTAAAGCTCTAAAATTCACAGTATAAGATACTTGAAGCAACTTCCAGGATTCCTTAAATCTAGTCGACTATTCGGATGTGTGCACAGGCTACAGCACAAACCCCTCCTGTGCTCACACACCGGGGGCCTGAAACCCAACGGGGAGGCAGGAGAACTCGGAGCGAAGGCAGCAGCTCTGCTCTGCACGCCCAGGTAGCGCGGCCGGAGTCTCAAGCTCCCTAAAACTACAGAAAAATAATAATAATAATAATAAAAATCAAGAGGCAATCGGAAATGCTGCACAAAACTGAAGTCTGACTTCTTCAACTGACTCTCCCAGCAGAAGGACCCATGGCTTTTTAAAGGCGCGTACGGATCCCGCGCTCGGAATATGCACGGATGTGGCTTATCTCCGTTATCCCTGACGAGGAGGAGGGAATACGACTTAAAAAAGCGACCCTTGGAGCCCTGCGAGGTGTGTCTGGGTCTGTGTCTGAAGAGGCTATGCGTGAGAGGGAATGCAAAATTGGAAACCTGTAAAAAATATTCAGTACAGTTAGAAATATGGCATACTTTTGTCACAATATATATATATATAAAAAAAAAATCTCTATATCCAACAGGATCCAGTGGAGTCTGGAAAATCCCAAGTAAAATGTCAAAGCGCAACTCCTAATAAATGATATGAATGTCTCTGAGTGTCAAGTCTTGGAAATCCGAGGTCTCTGTGCTCCAGGTAGTTTCTTGGTAGTTTTGCTGGGTTTCTTTTTCCTGATGGTGTGTCTGGCAGGAACGCTTCCTAGGGAGAGAGAGAAACACGGGAAGTCAGAGCTACCAACGGGAAAGAAAGAGAGGAACCTGCTGCCCTGAAGAACTGAAATCAGAAGGTGAGTTACCATCAGTGGTAGGTGTAAATCCAGGCTCAGAGCCACCTGCTACAAACAACGTTCCTGCTCCCATCCCTGAAGGACCATATTTTAAGAGCTGCAAGTCAGGAACCCTTAGGAGACTTCTCCTATTTTTATTTAGCTTTGGACAGTCAAAAAGCTCAACCACGATGTCTGTTAAACTATGCTGTGTCTCCTCTCGTCTAACTTCTTGTTCCACCTCCCAGATGTCTCCAGTCCCAGCTTTGGTGAGATGAGGCAGGACAGCAAATAGCACCGATAGGGACCACACCAACATCACCAGCGTGGGGCAGGATGGGCTTTACAGCCCTGATGCAGGGCAGAGCTCCTGGATTCCCTGAGCAGCTCTTTCCCAAAACCATCAAGACTGCAGAAAAGGGATTATTTCCAGGCAAGTCTGGAGCTCGGGGTCCAGCTCAGGAGTTACCTGGCAGTGGGTCTACATGGAACCTATAGCTCAGTGTGCTGCTGGTGCATGGGTGGTGTTTGATGAGGCAAAACAGCCTCTTCGCAGGAGCCACGTAGCTTCTTCCAGACTTTTCTGGCTCATTTGCACTGCAGGATTAGTCTGTGTTTGCCACTGCTTCATCAGCCTTAAGTGATTTAAGGCTGATGTTCAGCCTGGAGAAGAGAAGGCTCCGGGGTGACCTTATAGCAGCATTCCAGTACTTAAAGGGGGCCTACAGGAAAGCTGGAGAGGGACTTTTTACAAGGGCGTGTAGTGACAGGACAAGGGGCAACGGATTTAAACTGAAAGAGGGGAGATTTAGGTTAGATATAAGAAAGAAATTCTTTACATTGAGGGTGGTGAGGTACTGGAACAGGTTGCCCAGAGAAGTTGTGGCTGCCCCATCCCTGGAGGTGTTCAAGGCCAGGTTGGATGAGGCTTTGGGCAACCTGGTGTAGTGGAAGGTGTCCCTGCCCATGGCAGGGGGGTTGGAACTGGGTGATCTTTGAGGTCCCTTCCAACCCAAACCATTCTGTGATTCTATGATTCTATGATTTAATAGAAGCAGCTAAAAATAATAATTTTACTTAAACTTTGACCGTATTTAGCCAAACCTTGCTTGCACCCTGCCCTGGGTGGGGGAAGGCAGCACCCGTCCCTCCCTTGTACACGGTCTCCCTACTTACACCCTCGCTACTCCTCTGCGATCTCGGTCTCCTGGTGCACAACCACTTTGGTCACCGACATGTCCGGGTGCTGCTCCTTCGCTGCCTTTATCGCCTGCGCTAGGACCTGGAAGAGAGCACATTTCCGAGCACGTCACCAGGGGGACAAGAGGCTATTTCTAACTCTGGGGAGAGAAAAAGAAAAGTGATTCCACTCCAGCTGCACGTTTTGGTGACTTTTGGAAATATTAGATTATTTCTGAATGGAAAAGCTGTTTTCTAAGAATACATTACATCTCTCCACTGCCCCATGGTAGAAGATGGACAAGAGCAATGAAGCAAACAAACCCTGTTTATCCTTCCAGCAAGCGTGATGAGCACATTTCAGACATCTTCTCAGATGTTTTCTTTTGGAATTAATAAACTAGTTCCTGTCATACGAATATTCTCCAGCTCCCAAATTCAATACAAAGTATAATTCTCTGACGACAAAATCATCGCTTCCAACGCACGCTAGAGGCCAATGAGGCTGACTCATCAGAAAGGTTTCACATAAAGCTGATGAGATTTGATGCGAGTGCTGAGTGCTGTGACATGACTTCTGGCACTACACGGCAGCAACAGTGCTTCAAAGTTACTAGAAAATTCATGCAGATCATCCAGATGTCAAGGAAAACTTTTACTTCACATTTTTTGTGTTTTTTTTTTTTAAAACTGCATTTGTCCAAAACAATTCTGGAATCAAAAGTTTGCTGCCAACATCAGTTTCAGAGCAGAATTAAGCTTTGCCAGCCCAGCTACACAGCTGCCTACTGTCAAAGAGGAATTTATTATTGAAATCAGTTTTCAAGTTTTATTTCTACCCCAAATAAAATTTCCCTAGGTTGTTTTCTGGTTAAGCTGTCTTCGGAAAGGCAGCCTGCCTAGTTCGTGCCAGCTCTGAGAAGCTCTTTTGGACCACATCCAAGCTCCTACCTGGTCGTGGTCTACATCTGCATCGCCCGTGATGACAATCCTCTTTTCAATCCGTGTCTCCGAAATGCCACCTTTTACAGTCTAGTACAAAAGGGAAAAAAACTACTGTTAGTCTTGAAAGGAAAAGGAATTTGAGTGCTCTGGAGCTGCCTGTCTAAAGATGGTATCCAAATACAGCGTTACCAAACACTGCCATCAGACCACGGTGTCAGAATCATGGAGGAACACTGCTGCTGCTCCAAGAAAAACTGTCAAATATTCATTTTCTTATGACTGAGCCAGGGAAGAGCTTTGACTCACAGCACAGTTCTTTCCCGTTGTTCCACAGGACACTCAGAGCCCGTGTCCACAGACTGCACCACAATTGATGCACAATCTTAATTCACTGCAGGCAAACCTGGGAACCTCATGCTTTGTTTCAGATATTAATCACATTTTTTTAAAAAAATGGAGTTTAAGCTTTCCCCCACCCCCCTATTATTCAACTCTGCCCATCTCTTCGCTTTGTTTCAGGTATTAATCACATTTTTTTAAAAAAAATGGAGTTTAAGCTTTTTCCCCCCCCCCGCTATTATTCAACTCTGCCCATCTCTTTATCGTGTTGTTACTGGTTTTGTTGTTGTTGTCGTGGTCCCGTGCTGTTACCTTCGTGATCTGGGTGGTGGTGGTGCTGCTGGTGGTTTCCGAAGTGATGGTCTGAGCAGTCAGCAGGATGCCAGGGTCTAAATCTCCGTTGCCACCATCCGTCTGTGGGACAGAAGAACAGGTCATCAGGCTCTGCGGACAGCACGGCCGGAAGCAGGGTCTCCACATCAACACAGCAGGAACGCAATCCGAGGACAGAAACTCCTCTCCATCGCAGACCATGGGACACAGGGAGCTGATGTGGAGCTGGCTGAGCTGCACCCAGCAGCTCGGGGGCTTGGCAGGTCTTTGAAGGCTCAGCACAAAGCCCGTGGAATTTAAGGCTGGAATTCAGGGATCCGTAAAATCACCCTCTGACACCCCTCAGACCAGGTGGGCTGGGATATACCCAAATCTGGGTCCACTGCAATGCCTCTCATGCTCCTCCATGCCCAGTAGCATGCTTCGGACCACGAAGGGACGCCAAAGTAGACACCTATCCCGAATCACACCTGGGATCCATGGAGGTTCACAAAGCCAGAACGCACAGTCTGATTCAGAAGGTACTTTCTACCCTTCCTCCCTCCTGACACCACCTTGCACATCATGTGCTTTAAACTCTGCTGAAGCAACATCCAGA